GCACCGGATTGAAAATTGCACGTCGCGTGGGTACATTGTCTGCCTTTATTTTTCTATTGTGCAGACCGTTAATTTCACGACGAATACAAAAATACGATTAAGCGCGGCAATTATTGCCGATATTCGAGTAACACAACAGACGGCGTGACTGATCACACATTTTTGCGATTTAAGAATTCTTACGTGGGAAAAACAAAACTATCGTCAAATAATGATATACCTAATGGCTAAAACGAAGATAGAAAGGTTGTACTCTATGTAAAAAAGAAAGATATAATCTAAGAACGGTAAATTCCTTCAATTTAGAGTTTTTTAATTTGATTAAAGAGAATTAATCTAGATTGATATGTATTAGACTGGCATGATTTATAAATTAACTTTAGATATATTTTAATTAATTAAAAATAAATAAAAAAGCTAAATTAATTAAACTAAAAGAAAATTAAAATTTGTAAAAAATAAAAATCGGAATTGTAATAAATAATTTTTTAATAGATATCTATTAATTCTTTTGATTTAATCGTATTAATTTATTCAAAGTGAGATATAAACGCAGGTTTTCAAGGGCATCCCATATATACATGTATATCCCATATACGATAGAACTTTCAGTTCAAAGAGGAACTACGGCCTAGAACATCTACTTCTTTCTTTTTTCCACAAAGCGGTCTTATACCGGGAAACCGCGCCTATGTTTCCCCGTTTTCTCTTCGTTCTCTTCCCTCTTAGCGCACTCGCGCAGTACATATACATACTATCTTGTATCTGGGACACCTGCGACGTATTGCGACGTTTTCGACGTTCTATCATCGCCACCCTACCTACTTCCCCCAACACTTGCTCGCACTTGTCTAATCTAAACAATCGAGTAATCGATTTTCGAGCGCGACTTGTTCGTTGAGTTGCGTTTACTTAAAGGTAGTATCGGTCTTTGCCTGTTTAGTGTTACCTCATTATAGGTGAATTGCGTCACGATTCTACACGTTCAGTGCTTGAAGTCTATATATGATAATTATAGAATTCAAATATCTTAATGTCATGTCTTATTCGTCATGTTTTTTTTCTAGGTCCATAAATATTTTCTTTTAAATCATGAATGTTTCTCATAAAAAATAAAATATCTTTCAGTATATATTATTAGTTACACCTTAGAGATATTTAATTATATTAGAAAGTTACTATATAAAGTCCTAATTTTTAATGATATTATTTCACAAATTTAAGTAAAGTTTACTTGAGATAATCCAGCAAACAAAATCCAGGACAATCCGTATTATTTATAAATTATCGCCGTGGGGAAATTAGGGAGGTCGGCGCGATGCTTGACTAATATATATGAAATGACTCATCCTCGCTATCTCGAGAGAGTGGATTATCCGCGAAATAGAAATAGATTGCAATGGGTCGACTGGCTGGCCAAAGACGTCACGCCAGTTCCGGTTTAAGCTTGAGTTTAGCCGACTCTCTTTTAATCATCAAAACAACGTTGACGATCGAAGGATAGTGCGAAGACAAGAACCAGCTCAGTTCTGTCCAGTTCTGTCGCAGGACCGAGCTGTTTATATGCGCACTGGAGAAAAACGAGCAAACTTTTTGATAATTATATTAATATTATCGTTAATATTATATTAACACTTTCGATCTGAACGGCTACAATCGTATGGGAATTGTCTAAAATTAATTCAAAAAGCCTAACAAAACAGAAAAACTCCAAAATTAAGTAATTAAATTCAAATTTGTTTATTCTAAAAAAAATGTTTTTAAATAAACTTTTAAATTTTTTAAATTTGTTAAAATTTTTCTTATTAATCCCTTTTAATCCATTTTTAAATCTTTTTCTCAATAAATAAAGACTGATTTTATTGAAAAGACTGATATGACAGACATGGAATAAGAGAATGGATCGCATCTTTATATATATATGTATATACGTGTATAGCGCTGCACGCCGATTTATGCAACTATCCGACTTCCGGTTTATGTAGTTCTTCGTATAAACGAAGAACGTACATTTCTGTACGCTATTGTACGTGTTGCAGGAGTGCGTACAAGTTGTAAACCGACGACGAGTTGCAAGTCGCGTGCTGAGCGCGGTTCAGAAAGGAAAACACGTGATTCGAGTCGGTTACAAGTTGTTTCACAAATCGCTAAAGGGACAAAGAAATTAATGAAAAAATCAATGGAAATAAATAATAAAAAAATGTGTTCAAGATTAAACTTTCAGAATTCAATATTTTTCAAGACTGGATAATATTTCACAATAATTGTGTATTATATATTAAAAAAAAATGTTATAGTTAAGTTTATATTTTAAATACTAATATTCTGCCCCCTATACATATATTAAAATTATTATGACAACAAATATTTTTAACATTAAAGACCCTCAAAAAAAAAAACGTGGACTGATCGAGTTTCTTTGCCTTGATGATTATCTTCACTTATCATTTACGTGAATCACCCTGTACATATGGCGCGTGTGCTTGGCTTGCTTTAATTATAGACCGGAGCCCTTCTCCTTTCCTTAGCGTCCACCCTCGACACCGCGAAATTGGAAAGGCGACGTCTACGAGCCTGACTACAGATTCGTTCATGCCGTTCGCTCGATCGAGGGTAAGAACGAAACCCGAGAAAAAGCTTCGAAAAGCTTTACGTCGCCTGTACTGTCAAAGTACCACCCCGAACTAAACTCTAAAGTAATATAGAGTACTTAGCAAAGCAAATACTACAGCTATTAAGAGCTGTGTGCAAAGTTTTCTGGCCTAGTAAACTGTAAAGTCTCTGTCAAGAACTGAAAAGTAACGCGAAACTGTTCGTAATATTGTTCGACTCTATCGAGAATAAAATTAAATTCTACTGTCATTTTTCGAATTACTTTATGTACCTAATTATATTTTATATAATTTCAATAATATATATTTATTATTTCTAATTTTTTAATAAAATTTTATTCAATGTCGAACAGAAACAAATTTACTACATTGAGAGCAGAATGGAGGGACGTGAATGCTTCTAATTTTCAATTCATCAATATTTACTATAGATGTGAGAACTATGTTTGAATAAGAAGAAAGAAGAAAGGGTCGAGAGAAAAGAAATGCGTATTTTATGGATTCCGAGTGCATCTCACCGGGAAAACGAGCCACGTCACATGCGGATGGATGAATTGAAACATGTATAGTCGAGTTATATTTCTCTTTCTCTCTCTCTCTCTCTCTCTCTCTCTCTCTCTCTCTCTCTCTCTCTCACAGGACGATGCCACCTCGTGTTTCAAATTTGCATAATCCTGAGTCGCACGATGCTCTACCTTAAAGGATACAAGTTGAAGAATTGTCAGTGAAAATAGAGTCCTTGTAATGTTACAGGAGAAAAAGGTACAAGTATGTACGTGACATTTTAAAATTTTATCGGATGATCTCGAACCTTTTGTCAAGTATTAAACTACTATAAAAAATAATTTAGACCTTTAATTCTTAAATAATAAAAAAATTTAATTATAGGAAGAAAAGTACTTATTCAGATTTTTCAGATTATGATGTCAATTTTTTCTCCATTAGGCAATAAATTATTTAAAGCTTAATAATGTTGCTAAACAATTTTCTTTCAGAAAATATTCAAATTTAATTATGAAAAAATATTATTTCTGTTTAAACAATTTAAAACTTTTCCCGTGAGAAGAACTCAAGTAAAGTGTCGCGCCTGGTAAAAGAAAAAAAAATAAGTAGTCGAGATAATTTACGAGCGAGGACGTAACAAGACGTTATAATTAACAGCTTTTAATTAACCGAGAATGCTGAGTCTGTACGGAAGCCAGGTATACACTTAATCGTAAGTATAAAACGCGCGTGTCAGAGGTTATGTGATTCTGAGCGAATCCCTGCCGCAATGCTTCCGTAAAACGCCAATTAAAATGCCAATCTGAGATTCAAGTTGATCATTTTTCTTGAACCAGAGGCACGAATTTATCTTACAATGTTATAGCAAGATATGATTATTACGCACATTATGACGAAGAATTATATCTTATAATAAAGTAAGATACGTGGGCGCGTAAGATAAATGACTTTGAAAATTTATTATTCAGCTATATAGTAACCAAAGAGCTACTATGTATAGTATAGGTAATATTTAATTAAAAAATTAATTAGTAAACATCGAATTAGCAAAGACAAAAATACATGTAAAAGTTAAGAGGCAACGATAAATGTATAATATTGTAATAAATATTATAGAGTTAAATTATTAAACAAAATTTTTAATAGGAACTACCAAGAAACATAATTTTAAAATCAATGTATTTTTAATAAAAATTGGAAAGATAATAAAATTTAGAATTTCTAAGGAAGAAAGCGTAAATAAACGAACAAATACAAATATTTTATTACACGTTAAAAACGTGTAAAAATGAATTAAAAGTTTAAGATTGCAAAAACATATATTGAGATATTTAGAGACAGAACGTGCCGCAAAATGTAATCGCGTCTGTCTTTTTCTGCGTGTTAGTCTAAATATTTCGAAAAGATGGTGATCTATGGTGCACCGTATACGTACAGTTGCACGAATTTTATCTACGTATCCTAAGCGGGGAAAGGAAGGGAAAGCGAGCTTGTGAGCTTTCTATTTTTAAAGGACTGCGCTCGTGCATAGCTGGTTCTTAAATTTGCTTCTCCGGACGAAGATCCGGAGCATCCGCGTATCAAATACCAAATCTTTTGAATTTCCGTTTCATACTTGATTAAGCTTTATCTATAATCTAGTGTTTTCTTTTCTCACATAACTAACGAGCAAACAGTTAGCATTCTTTTAAATTTGATTAGCAGATATTCTAGTATAGTTGAAATATTTTATTTATGTGAGAATATAAAGATTCATTTTGCATACGTTGCAGCAATAAAATGTATGCAATTTATTTTTGTTATACAAATAAAAGTTAACTTGAAATTTTTATCTTAACCGTTGCTATATACTTTATCTGTGCGATAATTTTAAAATACACTCACCATTTGTTGAGCGCTTTTCGGTTTTCGATTTACGTCGATCACCTTCTGATTAGCTGCAATAAGAAAAACGGGGCATTTTAATTTAAAAGTTATTTCTCCTTCATTTAGCCGACAGCCGACTAACGGACGTCGCTGTGAATTGCATACACGCGCGTATGGCACGTGACTGTCGTACCCTATGCACTAATGACTTTAGTGTCGATTTATGTGTTATAGGTAACTGTCCAACTGGCCATAAACGATTCAGTACTGTTAGGCGAATCACAGATGTATATCGCGACCCATCGCTCAATCTTTTTTGCGCTTCGATTTGTATTAATAAAATTCCGCGGCATTCTAAATTTTTATTTAATATAAATTTTTTGTATTAAACCAAAGAATTAATTTAAATAAAAAAGAAATTTTAATACAATGTTATAAGATTTATAAATATAATTGATTTATAAGTCCGCAAACATCTCATGAATACATCTTGAATTTTTTTTCATATTATAAATATTTACTAGATTAGATTTAAAAAAAATTAGAGTATCCAAAAGATACTTACTGACAGCCTCTACCAGATCGGCTAAAAGGACACCGTCGCAGAAATCAGCTTGGAGATCGGTCACCCGTTTCTTGCAACCCCCTCGTTCCAGATAATAATTTGCCCAATCTGTGTAGATCTGAAATTAACAAAAATAATTATATAAAATAACATATACGCATATATGTTCTATGAGACATCATTAATATTATAATTAATAATATTTTCTAAGTTATCATTTTCTTCTTTTTTTTCTTATTTTTCCTTGAAATACACAAATACCTATATAGTTTCGAAGCAATTTCAATGTTAAATCTTTTTATTTATAATATCTACTTCTTGTTACTATTTTTTTGCTTCTTGATAAGAAAAAAAAATTCGCGGAATGAATTGAGTACTCAGAGTTACTCGTTGAAGCACAATGCGGAAAATTGCATTGCTCTTAATTACGTCGCGTTTCATCGGCGATGACTGATCGATCGACTCTTGAGATCGTAGCTTGGTGAATTAAAGGCGATCGCGATCGTGAGAAAGAGAGAAAGAAAGAGAGAGAAGCAAATAACAAATAGCTTGTAGAGAGCAAACATATCATGGAGGAATGAACTTTAATGGTCGATCGATCGATTATTATTTCTTCGTCCCGCGGCTGCATGCTGGTTATTATTTCTTAATTGCTCGCTTCAGTCCCACAGGAGTTTATGTTTACGAAAATGACAAATAATTCTTTTCAGACATTCGTTACTTTCCTGTAGGTATTAAAAATTCATTAAAACTTTTTTAATAAAAATTAATTTTAAATAACTTTACTCCGCCAAAAATAATTTTATACATAAAAATGCAATTAACTGATGACAATTTATTTCCAGTAAACTCTAATCAACTTGTTCAAAATATACATGTTGATCCTGCATTACTCGAAGCAGAGGAAGCAAAGTGGAGAATGCCGATTGGCGCGATAGGAATCTTTTCACCTTGAAGAATGTTTTCTTATTCGTCTTTTTCATGGCATGTCAAATCGCACAAAACCTCATATTTAACACATACGTGCTTCACAATTTATTGTTCTATAAATTCTTATCGTTTATGAAGCTATGACTCATCAATATATGCATGAAATACGCGTGAGAGAAAATAGCAAATAATACCGATAAAGAAACAATTATAACTTAAAAAATTACTACAAAAATTTTATATTTCAATAAAATTCTAATAAGATATAATCAAATAGTAATAGCATATAATATCTTTTTTAAATACTTTGTAAATAAAAACAATATATTGTAAATTCTCAATTTCTCTCTACCTATATCTATCTAAAAATTCTAATAAACACATAAAATAAAATAAAAATCTGAAAAAAAAATATCTTTTAGAGAACTACATGCGTGAAATAAAAAAAATTATACGCATCGTGCATAGTCATTTCATAGTGAGTGAGCGGATTAAAATGCGGAGAAACGCATTAACGAGCACTTACGGGCAAAGTGCACTTCGGAAGTCTATCATCGCATGTTGCTGTCGCAATCCTGCGATTTGATTTATCTTATTATTACGTTCAAGCGGTTAATTTGTTGCCGAGTCAGATTCCTCTTCTTGTTAACGAAATATGTTATAGATTGCTACCCAAGTTTTCCATTGCCAATTATGCAGCGCAAAACTTAATCGCGACATCATAAATCCAAGTAGCACCTCTAATTAGAGCATATATCTCAGTTATTGCGTCACTGTAATCATGTTATAAATCGTCTCAATTACGTGACAAATTTTCGATCGCCATACAGAATTTCAATTAGCATGTCGTTGATGACATTGCAAGTCTCGATGGTCCTCAAGACACTTATGCGCGACAGGTGCCCGGCGCGCGACGAAATTGAATGCATTTGCAGCTGACCGCGAAGCTTCGCGGATTCTTTTTCTGTCGTTTTCCCTTTCGACGAAAACAGCGCGACGCGCGACCGCGACGCATCCATTTGCATTTCCATCATACGCGGCGACCCATACGTCATGTGGGTGTTATCTCCCGCTGATTGCAACCCCGTGCAAGTGCGTGTACACTTACGTTTATTAACACGCGACCCTTCTTCCTTCTCTTACTCTCTTTTTCTCTCTTTCTCTCTTTCTCTTTTTTTTTCACTTGATATTTTATTACACCGCAGGTGCTTGACTGCCACAACTTTGTCATCGTGCATGTTCCATATTTATTTGTCGGATATTCAAATGGCAGAGAAGAACGATCCTCTCGGATAAATTTATACTCTAAATTATTCGAATCGATATTAATGCAGATATATTTACATTTTATTATATTTTGAATTGTATTTGTGCTGTTATTGTTATAATTATTTCACAAGATTTTGCACTGAGAATTTTCATTGTTATATTGACATAGAAAAGTAAATTTTTTAATTCCATCAATAAAGTACTACAACCGTCATTTTTTTATGTACAATCGTTTTCCATTGTTATTTTATTCGTTGTTATTTACTGTTAAATATTTTATTAATCTTTAAATACTTTTATATGATATCACATAAGAATGCAGTTTCTAAATAATGCAGTCTTCATCAAAGTATATCTATTCAGAATTTGTAATTTTTCATAAAATCATAAAAATTTAATAATTACGTGTACGTTTTATTCTCTTTACAGCTTATTTACGGTTGTAATTCTTTTCATTGTTTAAATAGATACGATTATACTTACACATATTCTGTGCAATACTTTCCAATTTATATCTAAAAAGCAAGAGTATAATAAGAATAAAATATTTCTCAAAAATATTTAATTAATTACCCAATATTTCTCAAATGTAATTACAGCAGCACCTATTCTCGCGGGAACTTTTATATCTAATTTTTATATACGTTTGTATCTATAAGCGAGCATCGGGGACATAAATCACGCGCGGAAGCATGAATTGTCCTGACGCGTTTACCGCGCTGGCGGAGCGCCAGGCTTTTCAGTGTGAGCAAGCGTGCGAGCGAGCGGCTCTCAAGAGTCACCGAAGAGGCGAGCGCGCGCTCGTTCGCAGCACTGGGAGCAGTGGGAGCTGGAAGTTGGGAGACGGAAAGCACAAGGGGACACAAACGTGGTTGTCGTACAGACGAGAGGAAGAGGAAGAGAAGGAGGAGGACAGGAGCAAAGAGCGAGGAGAGAAGAGAGTTAGTCATCGCGTACTATTTTTGAGCGCGCAAAGAGACGAACGGTACGAAGGGATGCGCGGAGGGTTTTGTGTGTGCTTCATGATTTCAGGTCGCCATTATTACGACGGCCGCGGCGGGGTCGCCGATTCTTTTCCCGCTTTCCCGATAGAATCTCTGGGCTTTCCCGGAATATTTCAGTAAAGAGAGAGAAAGCTGAAGATCGCTGAAGCAAGATCGAGGGGAACACATATGCTAAAGAGACTCGTTTAGATTAGGTAGCAAAGGTTAATATGAGACAGATTATTCTTGGGAATTTTTGGAATTGTTATATTTGTTACTTGAAAATAATAATAAAAGAGAGAAAATAATTGATTTAGTAGTTATATTATGAAGTAATGAAAAAAATTATTTGCGAAATAAAATATCCAAAATACCATTGTAAAATATTGTAATATTGTAATTGTAAAATACCATTGTAAATTAACATTGTTTTAATTAAATTAACGACATATTAAATATAGGAGCAGCGGCGACCTATAGAAATAGTTAAAAATGCCTCAAATTGAGTGATATAATTTGACACTACAAATTTAACAGAGTGGATTTATTATTTTCAATAATTGTCAAGATAATCGTTTCAATTGTCTTATTTTTATTTATCCCGAACTCATTTTTATCTTTTTATCTTTAAGTATTTTTTATTTTTAAGTGCACCTGATTGTACAGCTGCTTTGCCATTATTAAAAATAGTAATAATAATAATAGTGAATTCGTAAAACAATATTTACAGACTCGCCAACATATTCAACATCTCTCGGCAAAAAAGATACGAGTGGAAGAAAAGAATTACCTGCACGACATTACGCGTAGAATCGGCTTTGATGTCGTCGATAGAACCGCGCACGGATCTCGGCGCTCTGATACACGCCATGATGCCGCCGGTGGTCGTTGTGACCCCCGCGACGTTCCAGCGTCATCCGAGTCTACCTTTCCAATTATTCCTCACGACAAATTGCATCTATACCAGACGCTTTGCACTGGATTATCACGCGATAATGCACAATTGCAATTACACTATTCGTACTATCATCAAAATCAATTTCTCTGATCTTTAACTTTTCATCCTCAATTTTTCTTTTCAATTCACTAGTACCACAGATGATTATTTTATATTTCTATCATGTTTTCTTCTTTTTTTTATTGGAATTTAAATTAAGATATTATGTCGATATAATAATAATATCTACTAAATCTTGACGGGATCATGACAACATTCAAACAAATCGATATTAGTTTCACTTAAACACTTGATTCTGTCAAGAGAGAGATCATTTCACTGGAATCCACTGTTAAATATCTTTATATATTTTTTTTTACGTTAAAAATCGTGTTTTTCTGTATTTCTCTTTTATAAGAGCATTATGCACTGATACCAAATAACAGATGTAAAATAAAGTACGAAAAAAATCAGTATAGTGTTTTCGACGAATTAATAAAAAACATTCACACTAATCCTTTTATTATATAATCCTCAATTCTTCTGCTAAGATTAATAAATCGTTGATATAATTCGCGTCTGAATCCCTCCGTTCTTCATTCTCACAATCTTCTTTTGAGCGTCGAAAGCGAGAAAAAGGTCGAGGGAAAAGAGAAGAAAGAAGAGGAAGAAGAGAAAAACTTAATCAATCATTCAATTATTCAATTCGCGAGCAAATCACTCTCGTTCCAAATGATCGGACGAACAACGTGACGCATCGCGTCGTGTCGCGTCGTGATGCTTGCAAGAGTTGCAAGCAAAACACGGAAGCGTCTCGACTCTGCGACGCACCGGCCGTAACTGAATACGCGAGCACACATTTCTCTATTCGTAGGTATATACTCTCTTGCGCCTTCTTCTCCTTCTCTTCCATAATCTCCTCCCTCCTCATCTCTTTCACTTTATCCTCGTCTTCCTCCAATTTTACCACCTCCTTTCACTTTCCTTTTTTGTCTATCG